GTGGCAATAAAACAAGGGAGTTGAGATTTGACCTAGTGTCATGATTTTTAGGTTCTAAGTTGTCGTTTGATTTAGCTATGTTATCCGCCAGGGACTTACCTATGTTTGAAAAATAATGATTAACCTCCGTAATGTCGTCAATTTCATTATCCTTACTAAGAAGTGGTGCCGCTGAAGTTTTCACAGAACCATGATTAATAATAGATTTTATGGCTTTCCACTTCTCTTTATTTGATTTTGCGTTAGTAAGCAACGATTTCTCATAAATGTTTTTCATTTTACTAAGTAAGGAGTTACAATGATTACGGTAACGTTTATAAGAAATCTCATGAATGCAATTTTCTGGATTCATTTTATATTTATAATGTAATCTATCCCTGTGTTTCAGAATTCTCTTTCTACACGGGACAATATTATTTTTGGAATAAAGTTCGATAGCAGTAGAAAGCACCTTTACAAAATTTTTAGCTGCGGCATTGGCATCCAAATTTGTGTAAACAAATGAAAAGTCTATATTTTTAATATATTCAACACAGGAATTAAAATCAGTTTTAGTTGACTTAAAATGATTAACATTAGACTTGGAACCCTTAATACTAAGACTTAATAAAACAAGACTATGGTCCGTGACCGTAGCATCAACAACAACTGCAGAAGCATGTAGGGCTGATTTTAACATGACATGATCCAGACAGTTGTTAAGTCTTGTGGGGAATAGGTGAGCAGGTAACATACCGAGCTCAGCTGTTAGGTTAAGATAGGATGCACTGTTTCTGTCGTTATTGCCGGCTTTAATATCAATGTTTACGTCACCTATTAATATAAAATTACCAACAGAATTTAAGGGGCGAGTAATTTTTTCAATTGAGTTTAGAAATGACTCGGTGGATACTATTGAAGGGGACCTGTATGTACCTAAGATAAAAATATCTGGATCAATTTTCAGGAGAAGAAAATTAGCTCCTGGCACATTTGGTTCCACAACTGAGCATCTAATATGCTTTTTCACATAAATAACAATACCGTCATTCTGATTGTAACAATTTCTGGAGTAGAAGTGTGTGTAATCGTTATTTAGCATAGGAATAGACTTATCTCGACTAAGCCAACACTCAGTTAATATCAACACGTCAATATCAAATTTAAATCTAGAGATTTGGGCAACAAAACCATCTAAGTTCCTGTTTATACTACGTATATTTTGCGTTGCAATGTTTAATGATAATGGGGAATTCCGCATAAGCTTGTTGCAAGTCTCAGTATCACAGTGAAAGGATGCAGCAACACCCAATCTATCCAATTCCAATACAAAAACCTCGGCAGCATTACCCATAATTAACAATAATCATAGTAAGATGAAACTTTGATCGGCACAGATATTCCATAGCAATTTTATGTTTAATGTTAATAATTAAAAAGCGAAAATGGTACATTTGCACAATCTTTTCCCCTAATTTATAATGTTTACGAGTAAGAGTGAGTTGCTGTTCATTGTTTGTGTCGTTTGTTTGGATGCATGATGTAAAAATATGTAATTTGAAACTTAAGTTTATAATAGTGATTACTGTGAGTGTGAACTCGCACAATAAACTTGAATGAAAAATAATTTGACATGCATTTTTGACTATCTTAAATTTAAAAATGGTTAATGTATTTTTACTGACATAAATACTATAAATCACGAACCCAAACAGTCATATTTTTTTAAGTGATTGAAGTTGAGCTTCTGTTCTGACGAGTATATGTGGCTCACCCTGTTTCTTCCTTAAGTAAATAAGTCCATTGGCTGTCCAGCAGAAGTCATACTCCATAGTCTGGCGGAACTCACGAGCAAGGAAATAAAGACGTGATGATTGGGCAGTTAGATGTTCCGAAACATAAATTTTACTTTGAGGTCCAGTCAAACCAAGGTGAGTTGAATTTAGTTGTTCAGTTTTGAATTTTCTGGCGGAAGCATTATAAGTTTTCGTTGCAGCGAGAAATTTGTTTTTTAGTATGGTGGTGGAGAATTCCACTATAACAGTGGAGTAAGATAAGTCAGGTTTTGATGGCATACGATAAACATCCCGCAGCTCAGCAGCCTGAAGGTTGACAGAGAGAGATGCAGCCAACTTAGTTATTAACAAGGAAAGGCTTTCCTTTGTCTCATCTTTTTGCTTAGGGACGTTTCTTATTTGAACACTAGTTTTTCTTGTGAATCTTTCAAGAGCGTCACACTTATCCTCGATCTTGGAAATTTGGGCGGCTACTTCTTTTCGGTTTTTTTCCAGACCGTTAATCGCGACATGCAGATCGTTAACTTTATCGTGGATAAATTGTATAGATTTTTCAATGTCGAGATTTTTCTCGATTGTAGTGTCGTTTTGCAATTTTATGACGGAAATGTGCTGCTCCATAACATCCATTCGTGAATTCTGTTGCTGCAGGGCGGACAACACTCCACAAAGTTCCTCTCGTATAATTTTACGGATGTCAAGTGGGTCCGCTTCTGTTTCGTGTTCCATTCGCCGACGTTTACTTTCTCGTTTAGGTACATGTGTAATCTCAGTATCCTGTTTAGCCAGCTTATCAACATCTGAATCAGACATGCTGTAGGATTTGTTTAATGGAGACCGCGTTAAGTTTGGCATTGTGTTATAAAAATATAGTTGGATCACTTTGTATTTAAAACGCCACCGCTTCCTCTTATGAACTGCAATCAAACAGAGCCAGTACTTGTGTGTGACGTAGCAGCGCACGCGACGACGCCGGGCGGCGGGTGAGGAGCGCGAGCGGGTACGCAACGATGAACGCAGAAACGTAGAGGAGGAGACGAGTGTGCGTGTACGCACAATGTTCGTTCGGATTGTAGCTTGTCGAAATATATCGTACTCACGGTCGGTCTCTCTCCGGCGCTCGAGTAATTCCCGTGCGCTATAGTCGCCTGGTAGCTTGGGGCCTTCACACGATTTATTTTTACAACTATTCTGTGCACAGTGGAATAAGAACTCACGATCAATTATGGTCTCCTGGTACTGGTTGATATTTAATGAATATATTTTCGTATTTTTAAATAAAATTCAAATAAATTATGAATAGGTTCACACGTCCAAACGCTCTCGCGATCCGGAAGGAAGGGGGAAATCGAGTAGTATTAGTATGTACAATGAACTTACACATACTGGGTAACTTGTGCTGTAGGCCAATTCTCAGGTATCAGGTGGCACAGGTACGGAAAATGTACTCACTTTACTTACAGTCTGAGGACCGATCCTGACGTATGTTGTAGAGAATATTGTTAACAACTTGAAATTGGTACTGCCAGACACATTCTGTTAGCGGTATTTATTGCCAGACACTTTCAATGTCGCAAGCAAAAATCAATAGAACAACACGATACTGTAGCAAGCATAAAATCTAAACGCCATCTCTGCATGCGATCGTAAGCCTGGTATGGATTGTTTAGTTACTTCTTAGATTAAAACAAAAAGGGAAGACACGGCACTCGGTGCACGACCAGAATTCGCTTTAGTCACAATTGGACATTCAAACACGCTGCATGTGCACTCAATATAACAATATTGCATATAATCTGTGTTATAAAGATAAAACAATGCCTTCGATGCTTTTGTAAAGAACATAAATAGGTCAAACCAAATAACAAATGCCTCGGCAACATTTTTCATTCGTAAAACTGTAGAATTTTTTTTTTCTCTAAAATCACGGTTTGTCGTGAATGTTATTTACGTAATCGCCATTTTGTAATCAAGAAAAGGACAACAATACAGCTCAGCCGTACGGACTCGGAAGCGGATTCGCCGTCTCGCTCGCGCTGCGTTGAAGCGTGTAGTGCTGTCTCGCTCGCTTGATTGAATGTTTATATACAGACGTGCGCGTGTGTGAGAGTTGCTTATGTAGTTGAGTCGGATCATTTTTTTTTATGCTAGTATAAGCGTACCGTATCTTCCCTTTTTGTTTTAATCTAAGAGTTACTTAGAAGCATTTTTATCGAAGAATGCGCAATCTCGCCAAACCGAGATTCAGAACCAAAGTGAATTTTCAATCCGCCTATGCTGAGATACCGCAAGGTCTTACGGAATTGGAAGCCGGCAGATAGCGGCACCCTAAGCCACTTCGGCAATTTAGTTTTACGCCATTTTGTTCAGTATAATATTAATATCTTGCTGAGTGAAGAAATTTTCGATAGTCATGCAAATAATGAAAGTTGTCGTAGCATCATAAGACCGCTTATGACTTACGAAAAATTTTAGAGTTCAAAAACTAACAGTTATTTCTTATGCCAATAAGCATAGCTACTTTCTTAAATAAATTTTCAGCCTTATATTAATCCTCTATTGTTTTAAACCTTTATGGTCACTAACATTATAGTAATTTATTGCAACAGTACCGAAATATCGGAATTTCCCTAAAAACAAGCAATATTATAGCAATTCAGATTGAAAGCGCTCAAATCATATTAATGCTTCTCTCACAGACATTGCACTAGATTCATAAACAACACAAAAAAATTTTGACTGACAGACTTGCGTTGCATTTTTACTTTTTTTTGTAGTAATATTTGAAAATGTATCAAATTACTTCATTAGATTCACTCATCTTGACAGTAAGAAAAACAAATGAAAATCACACATTTTCCTAATTTTAATTTGGAATTACCTTCTATAAAATTTTAACTTTTCAATGATACCAAAACTTGCCAGATACAAATGGTTTAGCCAAAAAGCTTTATTACAAGTTCATATAATTACAATACATACATATAATGCGAAAATACTTTTTCCCCTTCCTAATATTAATCCTGTTTAAATTATCTTTGCATATTTGGGAAGTGCTTAAATTAGTCAAATAAAGAGAATGAGGTCAAAATGATTGTCAAAACTACGGCTTACGGTTTTAGCGTGAAACTCTAACAATTTTTTTCACCATAGGAACCTAGCGATTTCCCAGACTATCGATGAAAAACCATTTACCTATTCTAAAATTTTACTTACCTGTTTCAGGTGGAGTTAGCCCCTTGGGTGAGCAGCGTCTCCTTGGACGCGTACTTCATCTCATACTTCACATTCCGCGTGCTATTCGTCCACCTGATCCCCTGCACCTCCTTGGTAGTCCTCAATGTCCTCCTCTTCAAGGCGATGAGGACTGCCCAGCTGAACCGGCAGAAACTCTTCAAAGAAAACAGGAAATCTGAATGCAAAAAGCTCCGAGACTCCAACTGCACCACACTGATGCTTATAGTCGTAGTCACAGTCTTCCTCTTGGTCGAAATTCCTGTGGCCGTTGTCACCATCCTCCACATTATATCCAGTAGCATAGTAGAGATCTTAGACTACAACATAGCCAATATTCTGGTTTTGGTGACGAATTTCTTCATTATTGTATCGTATCCGATCAACTTCGCCATTTACTGCGGTATGTCGAGACAATTTAGGGAGACTTTTAAGGAATTGTTCATCAGAGGCGCTGTCACAAGTAGAAAGAACGGTGGGTCCAGTAGATACTCCTTGGTGAATGGACCAAGGACTTGCACCAATGAAACTGTGCTGTAATCATCCTTTTTCTGGTAAAACCCTTTTTTGTATTGTAAATATTCTCGGTGATTTTAATGAGCGCCTCTGTTTTGTGGATGATGATTTTGTCTATTGATGTAAATGTAGACATATCAATAAAAATGTATATTCCAAGAATGAAATGTGTTTCATGTAAATTTACATTTTGAATAGCACGTAAACGCTAATATACTTATACTTAACTTTTCTTTTTCATGTAGATTAACATTTTTAGAAGATGTAAATTGTAAAATTTCATGTGTTACATATTAGAGATATATTTTATTTCGTTGTTGTTTTATATTAATATGTTTAGCGAAATAATATGCTGAGTGTCCTAAAATATGTGCAAATGATAAGCTTTTCGAATGAAATTGTGTTTTCTGGGACTAAATACATGGTTCAAGCTCACATTCAAGCTTTCACATTTTCAGGGCACCTGTGTATTCGGTACTTTTTCGTAGCTGTGGGATAACCTGATCAATTTAACTGTTATATAAACAGTTATTATTATTATTTAAACAAATGTATAATTTAAATGATTAGCTGATCTTGCAGCCAAATGGCGAGCCCCCATTTGGAAAAAGTATCACTAAATGTAAATTAAATTATATATAAATGTATGTTTTGTAAATAAATGTATTGTCAAATGATAATTGTGTCTACGTATATTATAACAGTCTTCGTGTCTTAGATATAAATATAATTTATATTAAAAGTTTTATGTAAATAATATACTTAAATATATTCAAATAAACGAAGTAAGGATTTGTAGAGTTATTTTGTAATTATTATGAATTATACTGATTAGAATTAGAAATTATATTTATATTGGAAACAACTCTAAGTTAATAAATGAATGTTTAATTTTTGTTGTATTAAAATGAATTATAAGTAAAAAAATTAACTGCTTTTTTTCTGATGACGACGTATTTAACGTAGGAACAGAATTCATAGAATGCAGATTGTGACAGTTTTATAACATGTCAGTGGAAGAGTTTGGACCATGGCGAAACCGAATCAAATTAACATTATAGGAGCATAACATTAATAAATAAACATTGTAAAACTGTTACTGTGTGTTTCTATTCATTTCTTTCATAATAAATTGATAATAAAAATCGGTATTGACAACTAAAGGTAAACTCACACACCAGCGTATGAAATATCCCCACTACTGGGGCACAGGACTATCGTATGGACAAGAAATAATAGGGGGATTCGACCACGGCCCAGCGCGGATCGGCAGATGTTAACGACTGCAGGTGATTAGCGCGTTCGGTCTGCGATCGAAGAAGTTAAGCAACTTTCGCAGTGGCGGATCATTGGATGGGTGACCAAAAATATCTCGAGCTCCTCCGTGCTCGAAAGGCACGTTAAGCCGTTGAACCCAGCTGTATCTACGGTCGTAATTATCCACCAATCCACACAGGGACCGCGAACACAGAAAGAGGTTAGAAAAGCCTTGTGGGCGGGGCAGGCGCGCCACAGTTATGTTTGCTTGACCAAAACTTGGTTCTGATTGCGTCGTGGCTCGCGGGTCTGGGCGCTGATTGGTTCGATCGTTTGATGTCGCGTCATTTGATTGGCTATTATATTATCTATTAGGTGGAAGTGTAGTGTGGGCGAGCTGGCGACAAACGGTCAATGATCACCATTCTAACCTCTTCTGTGGACTGTGCGGTTAATCACGACCCAACCAATCTCCCTACTCCATCTATAGGGAAGACCAGCGCCCCAGCACTGGGGACAGTGAGCCTGATGATGATGATAAACAACTGAAGATGCAAAGGATCTGGAAATGATACCATTTTGGTCACCCGCCCTATGGCCGGTCATTACAAATGCTGCTCAACCTCTGCAACTGCAAACCGAACGTGCTAGCCACTGTGCCCTCGAGCTCCTGTAATAAACAAAGAAAATAAGTAAGTATAATCATCCAAAGAAAATTCTACTAGAAAAATTCCCCGCGGACCAGGCAGCAGATGGGACTCGAACCCGCAATCTCCGCTGTCCGGGCGGATGCACTGACCATTATGCTACCACGGCACTAATTGTCCGTGTCGAATTTTCACTACTATTTTTTAAGCTGCAAGGTAGTGCCATTTCTTCGCATTGTAGGTAACCCAAATGAAATTACAAGTATTTAACGTTTGCAGGACTATTTTTATACACTTACTTTACACTCCGCGTGGAATTTTCTATAGATTTAAACAAATAGCAGTAAAAAATGCCTAAAATATATACAGGGTGTAATGAACTCCTGTGACAAAGACTCAAACTACACATTATGTACACACAAATAAGTAATATTACAAAATATTATACGTAGGAAAAATTCCTATGTTTAAGTTAAAAAAATAAAATTTTGTTTTCCAGTACGCAATGTATAGCGCCAATGTACTGTGGCGCTACGCAAAGAATCTGCCTGTCTGTATGTGTGTGCGTGTGTGCAAGTGTGTCGATAAAAAAGGTTCTAAATAACGTTTTGAAAATATTAATGTAAAAAATCTTGAAAAAAAAATTGTGACTTCTACCTTCAATATCTCCATAACCAAAAATTTCCCAGGTATGGTCCAGAAGAAAAAAATTATCGTCATGATATGGAAAATACGTGGCCTTCGACTTCGTTAAAGGTTTTTTTACACCCTGTATATAAGTATAATCATCACTTTACTTGAGTTCACTCAACCCTAAATAGAGTTGACAGAATAAAGTAATTGGTGAGTAGTTACTCAAAAACAGCAGTTACTTTCCTCTATTCCGGATTGCCACCACTGGTGGCAATAAGGAATATCCTTCTGTCCAGGTGGTAGCAATCAGGAATAGAGGGCTGCTTTCAACAAATCTTACAACAGATCAAAAGTTTTTAAGGATCAAATTACCGAAAGTACGCACGTCATTGACCCCGCTCGCCAGCGCCAATCATTAGTGGTACTCTCATCAGTATGACTCGCTCCATTTCAAGTCATAACCACATCAAAGTCATAGGGGCCCCATTATCTTAATATGCCCAGGGCCTCCAATAGGATAAAGACGGCCCTGGTCCTTCAGTTTTTTACTGCTCCTGTAAAATTTAATTTGATGTAATTATACTGTTTTGTTCGCCAACTTCTCATATATAAAATGTGAGAGGTACGTTGATAACTCATCATAATGAATGAAATGAAATAAAATAATACTTTACTCATATTGACTTATAGAAAGCACTTTTGCATCGTCCAAATTGAAGTGAAAAGCCAATCTGACAACTGGATTTCATTTAAACCCTTATGGTAAGTTTAAGCTATCGAAATTTCGAGAGAATATCAAGAAGTCATCCACCTTGCAGAAGACGACTGTCAAATAACACAATTCTGTAGTAGGTAGGCAGTTTTTGTATTTTGTGGCCGAGTGGTTTATACGCCGGGTTTCAGGATGTCGCCGACTCGAGAGGTCCCGGGTTCGAATCCCAGTGGGGGCAGATGTTTGTGTGATGAATAACGAGCATTGATACTCCAGTCATGTATGTTTAATATATATTTCTATATAAGTATACTTATACAAGGTCCAATTAGTGACGTCAACATTTTTTTTTAGATTCCTTGCACCAAAATATCCCATGTATGTTCCGCGATACTTCTTAGTTTTCGAGTTATAATTTTTATTGTGTATTTTTAATGATTTCTGCCAGCGAGGTTTCAAAAATTCGTATCTTTTTTCGTAGTAGATATTTTGCAGTTTTTTTTTGTGAAATAAATGTATTGAATGTTGTTTTAATAAAAAAAATAACTCAGCTTACTGAAATTACTTAAAGTTACTCAAAAAAGGCTTGAAAGTAGGAACTTTTGTTTTTGGTAGGATTAACTCAAACATTCAACTTCAATTTAAAAATACAAAAAGAAGTTTCCATAGCTTCTGGCTTAAATTAAAAACTCCGCATGCTTCTACACTACCAAAAATCATGAAAAACAAATAGTACTTAATCAGCCTATTTTTGTTGTATTTGGCCTTCGAAGGCGGATAAGCTAAAAATCATTGAAACATGATTAAAGCATTAATAGTTATTTATTATACAAGAGTGGAAAGTTCCTTTTTAACCGCGTGCTCGATTTGGATGACCGAGCAAGCGAAGGAAACAAACGAGCACAAGGTGAAAAATCTTTCCACTCGAGTGCAATACGTAACTTTTCATCCCACCTCAGCGAGGAAATGACAAAATGAAAAAGAAAACAATTTATAATGACAAAATATTTAAGCAATAAAACGTGAAAAACTAGAATGGCGCGAAGCACGCAAATAAAACAAAGAAACCAAGAAGGTTCCAAATTTAAATTTTTTCACAATTTAAAAAGTTCTAATCATAAATTTGGCACCATAGAGGTTACATTAAATAGGTTTAATGACGTTTTGAATTTACAATTATATTGAGTACTCATTATATGTGATGTTCTAAATTCAAATCTACTTTGCCGCTCAAGCGAATAAAATAGAATTTTCCAGCCAGATTTCGAAGCGCAAAATTACACTTTCCGAGGTGGTGGGATGAAATAGTTATTTATTATACAAGAGTGGAAAGTTCCTTTTTAACCGCGTGCTCGATTTGGATGACCGAGCAAGCGAAGGATTCTAAAGTTGAATCCTGAGCGTCAGCGAGGGAAACAAACGAGCACAAGGTGAAAAATCTTTCCACTCGAGTGCAATACGTAACTTTTCATCCCACCTCAGCGAGGAAATGACAAAATGAAAAAGAAAACAATTTATAATGACAAAATATTTTTATTTCAATTAAAACACATTAAGATAATCTATAAATTGAAGAAAATAATAAGAAGTAGAAAATAATTAAGAAATATTAAATGTAACGTTGCTACAGTTACTTATGTTAAGTTTAATATTTTTGTTAGGTAATGTTATGTTGGTGTTTGTGAATTGTGCGCTGTTTTGTGGTAAACTACTCGTATCAGTAATTTTAAATAGTTGTGCCGATTCATTGGATTCTATTGGCGTAAATGTTGGCGAGAGAGGGCTATTGTTTCCAATCTTATGGGGGCTCATTTTAGATGTAGAAGGGCGAGACCAAGAATCTGACAGAGGTTCTTTCAGCGTTATGGCCTCCACGATACTATTACAAATTTTTGATTTACTTTGGATTGAATCCTCTATGTATCCCTCTACAACCGAATTAGACTTCCAGCCTCCATGGCGCTTAAGCGATAGAAGATCAGCCCCTGATTCGGCCAAAAGTGTGGCTGAGGTTCTTCTAAAACAGTGACCGGTGTATAACGGGGGTTCTAAAAGTCCGAGAAAAGTTGCTATTTCTCGTGGAATACTGCCAATTTTATTCTGACCCATAGGTTGTCGGATACACTTTCCGTTGCGATATTGTAGAAAAAATCGTTCAACTGGGGTGTTAGAAGGACGTAAAGCTTGATATTTCTGAACAATGTTTACATATTCCTTGCGAATAACGAAGTTGCGGTCTTTTTTTGTCTTGGTATTTAGTACAT